TCCACTAATACTATATTTGTCCTTCTGTGATTGACGTATTTCACTCAGCATAATGTCTTCAAAGTTCATCCATATTATGTGGTGTTTTGCGTACTCTGCATTATTCTTTAGTGCTGCATAGCATCCCATTATGTGTGTGTACCATATTTTGTTCAATTACTCTTCCACTATAAATCCTGGAGATAAGTCCCTTGCCAGGTATATAATTATCGGCAAATATGAATTTGTTGCTGTCACTTTCATATGTGCTCTTTTTGTGGTGTTGATTTCTTTGTTTCATATAATTTTCTATGCTGAGCTCGTTTTGTTTATGAATCATGTTATCACTTCCTTCATTGCTGTTATTTTAGTATTTGCTGAATATTTATGCTCGTTTTCTTTTTTGATGTGAAGTTTTATCATTTTTCTTTGAGGTTACTCTGTGATTTACAGTTTTCTTCCCAAGTTTAGAACAGTCCGTTCTATCTTGTAGTTGTCTTGACTTACCTTGCATCTAGAAGCTCCTTAACTAACAGTTTTTTCCCTCTTTTTGGTTTGTAGTTGTCCTCATTTGTCAATTGATGTCTCTGGTTCCCTGTTTACAATCTTGTAGGCTTTACTTTGGATACTTCCATAGCTGGATTGGTTTCTGGGTTATATCATCATGTGTGTTAATGGTCAGTTGTTGTTGCTGTTGTTGCTTTTCTGTCCAAAGGGCTCCCTTTAGCATCTCTTGTATGGTTGGTCTGGTTTTAACAAATTCCCTTAATTTCTACTTATCTGGAAATGTCCTAATTTCACCAGCATATTTGAAGGACAATTTTGCTGGGTACGTAATTCTTGGTTGGAAATTTTTCTCTTTCAGGGTTTTATATATACCATCCCATTGTCTTCTCACCTGCATGGTTTCTGTAGAGAAATCCAAGCTTAGTCTTATTGGTTGCCCCTTGTAGGTAACTTTTCGTTTTTCCTGTGCTGCTCTCATGATTCTTTCTTTGTCTTTGGTTTTGGTGAGTTTGATGATCATATGTCTTGGTGATTTTCTTTTGGGGTCTGTCCTGTTTGGGGTTCGTTGGACTTCCTGATGGATATATTGTCATCTTTCATAATACCAGGAAAATTATCTTCCAACAAATCTTTGACAATTTTCTCTGTGGTTTTATTTGTCTCTTCTTGTAGAACAGAGTTTCTTAAAAGTATCTCTGTAGTCAGTGGATTAGACCACAAACTACATTCCTTTCTTGGAAAATTGCAATTCATGTAATTATATTAGATGCTCAGAAATGACCTACAGTAAAGAAAACTGTTTAATGTTTTCCAACTGTATTTGGCTAAAGGATTTTTTTCCCTTCTGTAGACTGCCTATTAATATTTCTTGTATTTCCCAGGAATATACTTTGTGATAAACTATTTTAGTATCTTGGTAATCTGGAGATAGTTAAGTAAATGTTTTATAGCTAAATATTGGAGGTAATAACTGATAGGCCTTATTTGTCCTATAAATATTTTCTGATCTAGATTAATCTTAAATCCTAGGGTTACCTGTATATCATCTATGCTTAGTTATCTAGCTTTACTGAGCTGCTTTAAGCAGTCCAGGTTATTTTATACTTTTTTTCTTCCTGGCAGTTGTGCCTATTCGTATTTCAAGTCTTAATTTAGACTTCTGTTTAACGATGGTAGATTTAATGCATGAATCTCCTGAAACTTCCACTAAAACTACATTAGAGGAATTTTTAATATGCACTGTCCCATAAGGATAAAGAAGACAGTTAAATCAATGATAATAGCAAACCTTTGGAGGCTGGAAAGTAGAAAAATGATTGGAAACCAACTTTAGATCTTATAAAAGTTGAATCCTAAGACTACAGTGGGGAAAGCTGAGATACACCACAGTTGGCCTGGCAGAATCCTCAAAACTTCAGAATCTGGTAGCACCAGGTATTTCTAAAAGTGGGACTGAAAACAGGAGAACTGGTTTTATAAGCAAATAGATTTCTTCAATCTCAACAACAGTATGCACAGCCCTCCCTTCCCCACATACGTTCCGCTAAAACTCTGGCGATTTATTCTGTGGAAAGGTAGAACAGAAGATCTTTGGTCTTAGGTTCACTGGGTACAGTTAAGTGGCAGTAGGTGAAGGAGGAATATGGTCTTGAAAACAGAATTAAGTGGAAGTGCATATACTTGAGTATTGAAATTCCCGGGTCACTTTTCTTACTTGGCTCCTGGAACACTGTCAGCTGGTCTTCAGCTTTTCAGGCAGCAGATTAGGAATCTGCTCAAGAGAAAAGACTTAGAGAAAGAAGATTCTTTTTTTTTATTATTATTATTATTGTGATTTAGGTGAAGGTTTACAGAGCAAATCCACTTTCCATACAGCAGTTCACATATACTTTGTCTCATGACATTGACCACAGTTTACCACAATGCAACAGCTCTCCTCCCACTTCTTCCCCATAGTTACCTCTTCCCTGTGTCCATCCCTCCATGCACCTGCCCCCTGAGCTGCCTCCCTGTGCATAAGCAGCCCTTCAAGAAAGAAGATTCTTAACTCCAGGAGAAATAAAAATTTGTAAAAGAAAGGAAAAGTCATCATTGCCAACTGAGGATAGTGATGATACTTACCACTTACTGAGTTACTGTGAAGATTAAATGAATTAGCATGTGTAAAAAGTTAGAATGTTACCTAGCATATTATAAGCTCTTTATAAGTGTTAGCTATTATTCTTAGGAGCTCTGGTGGCGTAGTGCCTAACGCATTTGACTGATAACCAGAAGGCTGGGGGTTCAAACCCACCAGCCACTCCTTGGCTAGAAGACTGGGCAATCTACTTGCATAAAGATTTACCACCTTGGAAAACCAAAGGGGGTCGCTATGAATAGGAATCAACAACTCAAGGGCAGTGAGTTGGGTTTATTATTATTATTATTCAGCTGTGAGTGGTATTTACATAATCATGATGTAAACAGTGAATACTGATCCAACCAAAATGAGAATAAAGGTGTCTGGGTGGTGCAGACAGTCTACACTCAGCTAGTAACCCAAAGGTTGCCTGTTTGAACCCACCCAGTGGCACTGCAGAAGATCTAGGTCTGGTGAGCGGCTTCCATGAAGATTACAGCCATCCCGACTCTGGAGCCTGTGGAACCTTTCCAAATGAACATATAAAGAATCAAATGCCTTAACCCAAATGAAAATATATTGGGAGGAGTGAGAGAGAATAGTGGGCATACGAGGGAGTAGGGGTAATCTGATTGTAAAAGCTTGCCAAATCCTCATCTCCCATAAAGGAAAGTTAATAGAATCTGTTAAATAGAAAAGTCAAAAAAAGCAGTAGAGTATCATTTGCAAAAATTGAGGAAAGTATCAAAAGAAACAAAAGGCTGAAAGCATTTACTTTGCAGGAAAATAAGTTGAGGGCTGTGCAGAGCACTTTTAGTTTTCATGATAAGCCTTGTTAAACTGTTTGACTAATTTATATGCATGTGTAACATTGATAAAAAGTAAATTTAAAAAAATTTTAGTTCAAAGTACATTTTTTATGAAACCTTTTTTAACCTTTCTTTCCAGAATTATGTACTCTGTTTTGCTTTTATTCTTTGTAATACATATTTCTGTCATAACACCTGCAACACTTTATAGTCCTCACCATAAATATAAGGCAAACCCTCATTTCCAATAAGAAAATCCAAAAGCAATTTCTGGCCAACTTGAATATTGTTTTGGTTCTCTAGTGCTGCTGTAACAGATATACTATAAGTGGATGCCTACAACAAACAGCAATTTATTCTCTCACAGTGTAGGAGACTAGAAGTCCAAATTCAGAATGCTGGTTCTAGGGGCTGGGTGAAGGCCCTTCAACCAGGCCCACTGAAGCTACATGCTTCTCTTAACTCATGTAGCTAGTACCTGCTAAGGCTGATGAACCCAAGGTCAGCAAGTAGGATGGCACAATCCAAGATCAACAGGCACATTGTAGGGCACTGTTCAAGTCTAGAAATCCAAATCCGGCACACCACTGGTTCAAGCCCAGAAACTAGAGATGAAGACTCGTCCAAATACAGGATCCAGATGTGCCAAAAAAAACTAGAGACCTTCCTCAGAGCTTCCCCATATGTACTAGAAGCAGGCTACACCCTGAAGGCAACTAATTAGTTATTCATAGCAGATTCCACCATGGAGTTGATTACACCACATTCAATCTCATAAGGGAATAATTGCATCCCCCTGCTTAGCCGCTCAAAACCATGACCCAGTCAGGTTGACACACAACCTTAAACTACCTCGAGTATATAAACTTTTAAGGCTATCGATGAAATTGCCAAATATCTTATATCATTATTAACATAATTGCATATACTTCAAAATATGTTTAAATATATGAATTTAGAAATACGTTTTCTGTTCTCATGTTATTAAACATGAGTTTTATGGAACATAGTCATATTTACTTCCATCTAAAAGGTTTGAGATAATGTCCTTTTGGAATCTTTGAATGCTGCTCTCACTAGAATTTTATACCACACTATTTCCATTGGCTAAACAGTTATAGTTTTCATTCATCTTACAGGAGTAGTTTGTGATTTTTATAATACATTTCCTTACTGTGTCACTTTTTATAGTGATCTCAAAAGTTTGTTTACAGTGATATCAGCACTTGAAATGGTATGCTCCTGTTCCCAGGAATTAATAGTTAAGTCTCTGTTAAACATCTTTTTTTTTTTTTTTTTTTGCCTCCTTTGTTTTTCTGTTGGTTTTATCAGCATCTAAAAAATTAGCTTTAATTGAGGTCATTTAAAGCAAATTTATCCTACTGAAGCAATATCTTTTTCAAAATAAAGGTAAATGAGAGTGTTTTATAATGTGAGAGACTTTGTAGGGATTTGATAAGAAGACATCTGGGGAATAACTTTTTTTGCTTTTTTAAAATTTATTTTGTTGAGAATTTGAGGAATTCTTTTTTACTGAGGAATGTAATAAAAATTTTGTTGAGGAATAAAACCTTGCCTTATATTTGGGTACTTGCAATATCTGTAGAAACATGTCTACACTCCTGCCCTCTCCTCAGACTATAAGCCATTTAAAGTAACAACTATGTCTTATGTGAATATAAGTATAATTCTAATTGATACATTTACTAATCCTTATATATCAGGACATTTTCTTGCTTGGTATTGTTTACTGGTACATATTAAAGGATAACCTTTTGAGTGATTTTAATTTATCCAAATAATTTAATATTTTTCTGATTTTTATTAATTTGTTCAAGGTGTCTAACAGAATAGATAAGGATTACAATAACCTTTTTGATGAAGATGATATGAGCAGTGCTGGTGATTTTCTAAATGACAATGCAGTTGAGATCCCCTCTTTTTCAAAAAGGATTATAAATGATGGTGAGGATGATGAAGACCTCATGCTGACTTCAAGTCATCCTAGACAGAGAAGTCACATCTTAGATGATGATGAAAACTCAGTTGGTATGAATATGACTTTCTGCATGTGATGATCTACTCTGTTGATTAATATTTTTAATCTTTTATGAAGGTTATTATTTAATAGTTAAATTATTATTTAAGTAGTTATTGAATTTGTGGACTGCAGCTAAAGCTGTGCTTAGAGGGAAATTTATAGCATTAAATACTTATATTAAAAAAGAAGGTCTCAAATCAATGATCTGTGCTATTACCTTAATAAACTGTAAAAAGAAAAGGAAGTTAAACTCTAAACAAGTAGAGGGGAGGAAAAGAGCAGAGTTCAGTGACATTGACAACAGAAAATGTAGGAGAAAATCAATAAAGTCAAACACTGATTCTTTGAAAAGATCAATAAAAGTATTAATTCTCTAGCTTGAGAGGTTAAGGAAAAGAGTGTACAAATTACTAAAATAAGAAATGAAAAAGGGGTCATTGGATCCTATAGATGTGCTATCCAAAATGATAGCTACTAGCCATGTGTGGCTACTGAGAGTTTGAAATGTGGCTTGTCCAGAGATGTGTTATAAGTATAAACTGCAATCATATTTTGAAGACATGAAAAAAAAAAAAAAACACCTTAGTTATTTTTTTGTGGAGTACATGTTGAAATGACAGTATCATAGATATATTGATAAAATGCAGAATATTACTAAAATTTCACCCCATTTTTACTTTTGTTTTAGCATAGCTACTAGAAAATGTAAAATTATATTTGCAACACTTCTGTAAGGCATCACTACTTTTGAATAGTAAGAATAATAAGAAAACAGTAAGAGAAATATTATGAACAATTTTGTACCTATAAATTCAACAACTTAAAGTAGACAAATTATTTGAAAGACAGAAACTGCCAAAGCTAAATAACCTGGATAGTACTATATTATTTAAAGAAATTAAATTTAGTTAATAAAAGCCTTTTAATAAAGTGCTTATTGCAACAACTTATAAACTAAACTAACACATTTGTGAACATACCAGGTGAAATGCCTGGTAAATCGTGCTGCATTTAAATTGTTCAGAGCTTATAGAGCATTTTGGTCTTTGGACTCCTTTACAATTTTCAAAATTATTTAAAGAACATTTGTTTATGGAGTTATATCTATTGTTATTTAACATATTAGAAAGTAAAACAGATTTTCAGAATATTTGTTCATCTAAAAATAACACTAATAAACTATATTTGAACATGTTGTTGTTGTTGTTATGTGCCGTCAATTCGGACCCGACTCATAGTGACCCCTCCTTGGGTTTCTGAGGCAGTTATCACTATGGAAGTAGATTGCCCCATCTTCCTTCCGAGGAGTGGCTGGTGGGTTTGAACCACCAGCCTTCTGGTTAGCAGTCAAGTGCCTTAGGCACTATGCTACCAGAGCTCCTATATTTGAACATAGTATTTTTTTAAAATGAAAAATAGCTACATTTACCAAAACAAAAAAGAATATAGTAAAATTAGTGACATTATTTTTGCAAATGTCTGGCTTAATTGAAGACAGCTGGGTTCTTTTGTCTGCTTTTAGATTCATTCTGTTGCTATATACAGACAATTCCCGGGTTATGAATGTCTTGTGGCCAACTCTTGACTTGCCCTTTAAAGTTCCATAAATTTGCTCTCACTTTGAAACAATGGAACCATCCCCTATAGGCAACAAATTGTTCATCATAATCACCTTCACTTGCTTCATTTGCATTGCAGCTTTTAAATCGTTGAAAAGACTTTAAGCCTTTTCTTGCACTAAAGTAAGGCTAAATAAGAACTTTATGTACCTATTCCAACTTACCTACAAATTCAAGTTAAAGATGCACTTAGGAATGCATCATTCATAACCTGGGGTCTGCCTGTATTGTTTTTGCTTGAAGTACATGAAGAAAATTTGGCCTCAAACAGATGTGTCTCTTGAAATGGAAGCAGTACTTTAATAATCGTGGATAGTATTCTTTGATATTGTACCAAAACTTGCCAAATGATAATTTTGTAAAGATTACTTTCAATGGAATCTGAAACTTTTGTAGTGAACCTTTGTGGCCCTATTACATTAAAATGTGTTGGTCTGTCTTATACCTTGAATGGTTCTTTTGTCCGTGTGTGATTTTGTAACATATGCATTAGTTTGGAAAAGATTAGTCCGCTGAGGTTTGCAGACCTTCTGAATATTACTGACGTCAAGTACTGTCAGTTACTTTTCTTGAGTCACAGGCTCACTTTGCTCGTTTTCAAGGAATGTTTGCCAGATACCCAATTCTGTATAACCATAGTTTATCTGATATTTATTCCTTCAAGAAAAAATATTGTTCCATGAAAAATACCGCTAGTTCAGCCTGTACTTCAATTAACTGTATAAGTTTTCCTGAGACTACAATCATACTTTAGTGTGTATCAGAGGAGCTTTTGTACTAACAATACAAATGTTAACAAAGTAAAAAAGACAAATAACATGTTAGTATTATTAAGCATGAATGGAAAAATGGGGATGGTAGAGTCCATAATGCTTTTCTTTTTTTTTCAGGTCCCTCCTACTTACATTTCTCTAATTATAACTCTTGGTATTTTAGATGTTGGATTGCTAAAAAGTGGTTCTAGTCTTCTTAAAGAAGAGGAAGAAAATACTCAGGCAGACAACATTCACAGTCTACCACATGTAACATCCCAAAGGCCATTTTATGATGGGCCTATGCCAACTCCCCAGCAAAAACCATTCCAGTCAGGTTCTACACCCTTGCATCTCACTCACAGATTCATGGTAAGCCTTGAATCTACATTTACTTTTAAATAGTTTTTCACTAAGTTAGTTTTGTTTGATAAATTTTTTTTTAAAAAAAAAAGTCTTAATTAGCTGGCATAGAGCATTTTGGTTGATTACAATTTTGTAGTTGATTTATTTTATGGTTAACTCAAATTTTCAATCTTACCTCAGCTTTATTATTGGAGATTACGTTAAATAAAATTTTGCTTTACAAAATGACATTTAGTGAATATAATTTAATATGACTATCTTGAAATACCTTTTGACTATACTTTTGAACCTTGTCATATTTATACATCTCAGTATAAATTATGCTAATTCTTTTTTAAAAATTTTTATTGTGATCTGGGTGAAAGTTTACAGAGCAAATTCATCTCCTATATAGCAGTTCACATGACATTGACTAGTCTCCCACAGTACAACACCTCTCCTCCCACTTCCTCCCCATAGCCACCTCTTCCCTGTGTCCTTCCCTCCATGCACTCCTGCCCCACCCCCAGATGTCTCCCTGTGCATACACAGCCCTTTATTCTCCCATGATTGATCTCTCCAGGGAGTGTATCTACCTAATGTAAATGTTTAGCTCATATGCCTGTCTTTTGTTAGTCTGAAAGCCATAGGGGTGGGTTCAATTCCAGACCTGAAGGGCAAGTTGTTGTTGTTGTTGTTATGTGCCCTCGAGTCAGCCCTGACTCATAGCGACCCCTCCTTGGGTTTCCATGGCAGTATCACTATGGAAGTAGGATTGCCCAACCTTCCTTCCGAGGAGTGGCTGGTGGGTTTGAACCGCCAGCCTTCTGGTTAGCAGTCAAGTGCCTTAGCCACTATGCTACCAGAGTCTGAGGAGTTCCACCAGGCTTTATCAGACCAGCAAACCTTGTCCCTCCCCCCTCCTTTTTTTTGTTTTTAAATGATTCTGAGTTTTGTTCCACATTACTCTCCTACTTTATCCAGGATCTCCTACATAGATCTCCCTCTGAGTGGTTGACAGTGGTAGCTGGGCACCATCTAATTCTTCTGGTCTCATAGTAATATAGGCTGAGGAGCACATGGTGTACCAGTTCTTTGGACTAATTGTTTCCATGTGTCTTTGGTTTTCTTCATTCTTCTTTGCTCTGGATGAGGAGAGACCCATTGTTGCATATAGAGGGCCACTTGCAAGCTTTGAAGATCCCAATTGCTACTCACCAAAGTAGGATATGGGCTAATGTTTTTGTGTAGTATGTTATGCCAATTGAATTTGATGTCCCCTGTGACCATGGTCCCTAGCCCACAGGTCCAACTACTCCCTCCCCCTGGTAGCTGTCTGTGGCCAAGAAGTGACTACTACTTTGTCCTTTTTCAGCTCTACTATATACCTCGAAATTCTTACAGAACATACAGATACACTTGTAGAAACATTGTCTGCCAACCCTGTACATGGTTATGGGGACACTCCCCCCTGTACAGACATACCTAATAGTTCAGCCTGTCCACTCTTCTATCCACCTGTAGATCAATGTTTAAAATATGCTAATTCTTAAACACTAGTTAGAAGGTTTTTTTAAGAAGGCAGATCCTATTACACAATATTAGAAGATAAGTACTATTATAAAACAAAGTGAAAAAACTACCCTTTCCCCAGGACTTAAGTTTGAGAACATAAAAAAGTTTACTATTTCTATTTGCTGGTTATTTGAGGTTTTCCTTGATGAGGGGGCTTTATCGTCCTTTTTGAAAGGTGTAGCACTGAAACGAATTTGTACCTAAATATTAAGGATGGTGTTTTATTTTAATAGATTTTTTTTATTGCCATCACTCATCATCAAGGAATAGGTCTTAAATTTTTTATGAGTGTCAAACTATTTTATTTATAGTTGTATTCGTGATAAAGGAAATGAAACACTAGGGCGTAATGTGAGCCGATAATGTACATTAGTGGAAGGTAAGTTTCCTAAATGCTATCAATTTCTGTTGTCTTAAATGTGTAATTTGTTCCTGTAATATAAACCAATTAGTTGAAATAGAAAAATCTACTGTTATTTGCATCCATATTTCTAATTAAACTACAATTTTGAAATGTTTCTTTTAAAGAATTTAATGGTTTGGTTGTTCAAAGGCCAGTTGTAAAGTATTTTCTTTATGACAGTTGTGAGATTTATTTTTTTAAAAATTAAATGAGGTAATGTATTTACTAATATATAAGTGTATGTTCCTTTTTCTCATGAAAAAAAAATAATTATAGCTCTGATGTTACTACTGTTATCTAAAACTGAGTTAGATGAACTCTGGTTCCTCTCATAACTTAAACATTAAATGATAGTATTTGTTAATTTGTGCTATTTCAACTTGCTGATTGCTAGGAGCTTCAATTTTTCTCAGACTTGTATTTAATCTTACATGTTTGTAGGTGTGGAACTCTGTTGGAATTATTCGCTGCTATAATGATGAGCAAGACAATGCCATAGATGTGGAGTTCCATGATACCTCCATACACCACGCAACACACTTATCAAACATTTTGAATTATACAGTAGCAGATCTTTCCCATGAAGCTATTTTGTTGGCCTGTCAAAGCGCTGATGAACTAGCAAGGTAAATTCAAGATTATTAGGACGAATCTGGCACTATTGATCTGTAATATACAATTATTGAAATTAAAGACAAAAAATTAATAGAACAAGGTATCTTTTGGAGAATGAAATTGCAGAAAGAGTGTAGGACAAATACTAGCACACCCATAACACCTCAGAATGCAAGTGTTTGTTTTTGCCCCAGTTGTACCCTTTTTACATTGTCTAACTGCATGTCAAAATGATGTATGCTTTGTAATGCAGAAAGTTGGATTCTTTCTTACATGTTTTCTTTTTTATTACTATTATATGAATAATAAGCATTCATCGTAAAAGAAAAATATCCTTGGCAATTAAGGAGTTCTGGTGGTGTATTACCTAAGGCATTTGACTGTTAACCAGAAGGCTGGAGTTTCAAACCACTAGGCACTCCTCAGAAGGAAGGTTGGGCAGTCTACTATAGTGATACCACCTTGGAAATGCAAGGAAGGGTTGCTATGAGTTGGATCCAACTTGATGGCAGTGAGGTTTGTTTTTTTTTTTTTTTGGTGGCGTAGTGCCTAAGGCATTTGACTGTTAACCAGAAGGTTGGCAGTTCAAACCCACCAGCCATTCCATGGAAGGAAGATGGGGCAATGTATTTCTGTAAAGATTTATTGCCTTGGAAACCCAAAGGGGGTTGCTATGAGTTTGAATTGACTTGATGGTAGAGAGGTTTTTTTTAGTCCTAGGCAGGAGGACTGGGCAAAGGAGCTCTAGGTAGTGCAGTGGCTGATGTATTTGGCTGCTAACCAGAAGATTGTTGGTTTAAACCCACCAGCTCCTCTGCAGGAGTAAAATTGAGGCAGTGTGCTTCCATAGAGATTTACAGTCTTGGAAACCCTATGAGGCAGTTCTCCTGTCTTATACCATCACTATGAATTGGAATCAGCTCCATGGCAATGGGTTTAGTCCTGGGCCACTATTAATTTGTTTTTCTGTTACTGTAGGCTAGATTCTAAACCCCTCTAGGGAAAAAAGAAACACACTCAAAAATGTTATCAGTCTTCACTGTTCATAAATTTGCTCTTTTTCACTTAGTATATTTTGGGCTTTATAGATACATAGGTAGGTAGGTAGAGTTAGAGACAAAATTATGATATAAAGCAAAGGACACAGAATCTTTTTTTTTTTTTTTTAAAGAAAATACTAGTATTTTAGTCAGCTTGTTAGTCCAGGCAGGTTGCCCTCTCTTGATCTCTTCAGCTGATCATAGTACTGATGTACGTGATCATGGATTTTAATAACTCGCAGGTGATTTGAAGTTAAAATCTTTTTGATTGTATATATTAGCTCCTTGCTGCTCTGAGTGTGTTCCACCAACTAGGGATGTGGGTCACCTGAGAGCTTGTTGGAAATGCAGTGTCTTTGCCCAGCCTCAGCCCTACCGAATCAGAGTCTGCATTTTAACAGAATCCCCAGGTGATTGAGTCACGGTAAAATCTGAGAAACACTTTCTTAGGTCATTTTAACATTAATTGGTATCTTCCTTTACAAATTTTAAAATCAACTCAAAACTTCATACAGTCAGTTTATTAAAATAAATGACAATTGACTTCAGTGCCTCTAGCTCAAAATATCTTACACCATTAGAGCATTTATTTTCATGTACAGTTTTGATTTTAGATGTTCTTTGTTTTCCTTAGATGTATTATTTCACAGCTGTATATGTTTCCTTTTCATTTTAAAATTGAATATTAAAATTACTGTTCAGAAAGCTAGTACTATCTGATTCCAAATATTTATGGTGTCTATAGCATTCCAAAGTTCAATGAATTTGGGTTTAATAGTAACTTACGTGTAGTATATACATGCAAAGAAAAAAGACTGGTAACAGTGGTTGGCAATCTTACTAGCAGAATTATATTTTCTTTCTTTTCCATATTAACATTGAGGAGCCCTAGTGGTGCAGTAGCTAAGCTCTTAGCTGCTGACCAAAATTCAGCAGTTTGGACCCACTTGTTGCTCCCAGGGAGGAAGATGTGACAATCTGCTTCTGTGAAAATTACAGCCTTGGAAACCCTATGGGGGAGTTCTATTCTGTGCTGTAGGTTTACTATGCGTTAGAATCAACTCAATGGCAATGAGTTTGGGTTGGGTTGGTATATATTAACTTTTTTTTTTTTTTTTTGCAGTGAGTGAATTTATCATTTAGATGTTTCCTTTTTTAAAATTTTGTTATGATTTTGCATGCATTTATAATACAGGATCACACTCTACATGTAGCTTTTTAGCCTTCCTCATTTTATTTAACATAATGTTATAGCCTTTCTTGTATCTAAATATTCTTCAAAAACTTGACTGCTAATGGTCAGTGTATGGTATTTTTACATAAATAACATGTTATACAGTTTTTGTAAACTGTACACTGGTTCTGTATGTGCTGTGCACATTATTTATGTTGGCACATTATATGCAACAATACAGTAGTTCATTTTAAGGATATTTCATAATTATTTTCTTAAAGCCATTTCTTGTACAATTAGTTCCTAATAGAAGAATAAACTATTTGGTTTTGTTACTTGGCATTGTGATTAGTTATGTATGTACATATAAATATGAAAATTTGAATGTTTCTGTCTTTTCTGAATTTTTAGCACGCTTCACTGCCTGCACTTTAGTTCCTGGGATTCAAGCAAAGAGTGGATAGTAGATATGCCTCAGGATGAGGATATCGAAGCCATTTGCCTTGGTCAGGGGTGGGCTGCTGCTGCCACTAGTGCCTTGCTCCTCCGACTGTTTACTATTGGGGGCGTTCAGAAAGAGGTCTTCTGCCTTCCTGGGCCTGTGGTGTCAATGGCAGGATACGGAGAACAGCTTTTCATTGTTTACCACAGAGGTAGATTATTCTCAGTCTTTTTGTAATTTTACCATTACTTGAAATAAAATGACAGTTACTTGAGCATTTAAAAAATGTATATACTTTCTTTTTGGGGGGTTATGTATCTCATTTTACATTATTTTAGTATTTACATTAGTGTTGTTGTTGTTGTTGTTAAGTGCTGT